GTTTTTATAAAAACAGTTGAGCAGCAGTGACATTTCTCACTCTGCTGTAAATCCTTTCTTGTTGGAGAAACCAGCAGGTTGTCGCTCCCTGCTGGACTGGAGGGTAAAACTATCAATATGAATAAATGTTTGCTCTTCAATTAAAAAAAACTGCTTGGCTAAAAAATCAAATAAATGTCTAGTTTTCATCATATTTTCACAATTTTCTGGATAAGAAGATTTTTAAAAATATATCAATTTCCATTTCCACAATTGTAAGGTTTGTATTTATTAATCTTCAGTGAAAAGAACTGTCACCTGAAACCACAGCGAGCTGCAGCCGTCTTCTGAAACTTTGAATATTTTACGTTTTTCTCCGACTGAATATCAAGTGTGTGTTGTGTGGTTAACATTCAGCTCAGCTCCTCCTGCAGACAGCGTGAAAACATGAAACAACACAGCAAACCAAAGCCTGCTGCTGCTTTGTTTGCTTTCTGTCAGCATCCATCACTCTGACACACACACACACACACACACACACTGACCCTTCACCACCTTGGCTCTGATGAACAGAGTGACTTGAGCTGCTGGTAAACATCCTCACATATTCTCCTCTTCTTTTATTCTGTCCTAAAGGGTAAACACACACACACACACACACACACACACACAATGAACAGCTCAGACACAGCAGACAGGAAGTGAAGCGGCCAAGCGATGACAGCGAACTGAAAACACAAACATTTTACTCTGTGATGCAACATCAGTTCAAAATTTTCCAACATGATGAGAAAAAAAAACAAGTTTTAATGTTTGAAATGTTTGTTTCTCCACAGCTGATAAAGAGAAACAGGGCAAGAAAGACGACAGCGTCCCTTTCAAAGTCAACGTTTTAGGTAAGTCTCACAGCCCACCCTCCTGCTTCTAATCCAGCAGACAATATTCCCGCAGCCCGTTAAGCTGCAGGTGAACCTGCAGAGGAGCARTCACTGAGGATCCAACCTAATGAAAATCCCTTTAACACACAGTAAAGTCCTCACAGAGGGGCCACAGACCACACAGATCCCACCCCMCAGCTGTAAATCTCTGCTGATGGGACAGATACTGTGTCTAAGAGCTGATCCCAGTGTGCCGCTGAGATTTCTCCTGAGCAAACAGGCAGATTAAAGGAGCATTCTGCTGCGTAATCCAGCCTGCTGCATGATGCAATTGTTGAGTTTACAGATCAGAGGGGAGATGAAACAGAATCCTCCCGCTTTGAGTTTCTGCAGGAGTGAGATCACGAGCCGAACGTCTCCGAGGACGAGAGAAATCAGTTTAAACCTGGACTCAGACAGAAAACAAGCTTTAACAGAGATTAATCCAGCGGCAACACATACAGGCAAATTTATAGGTCCATTAAACACCAGTTTGTACCAGCAGCTGACATTACATTAACCATAGTTGTTGTTTTCTACCCTGTAATTGTCGCTGTGTACACAACAGTTACTATTTCTCCTTAACAGTTGCCACTTCAGTTATGGAAGTTTCTGTTTTACCTATAAGCAGTCAGTTAGTACCTCACCATTACCAGTTATAGTGCAGTTATTTTGTACCCACAGATTTCATTCTCCACGTTTGTCATCTTGTATCTGTAAATTTATCATTTTGTACCCTGCCATTGTACATAGTTGTTGTTTTGTACCTTGTAATTGTCACTTCGTATACAACAGTTGTCACTTCAGACATGGTGGCTTCCATTGTGTATATGGGAGTTATTTTGTTCCCATCAGTTGCCATTTTGTACCTGTGAAGTACTAATTGACTGCTCACTACTGCCATATTTATGATTTTTCAGTTATTTTGTACCTCATTCTCAGTGTTTGTTACTCGTGTATAAGATGTTATCATTTTGCACCCAGCGGTTGTCATCATTAACCACAGTTGCCATTTTGTACCTGGAAGTTGTCATTGAACACTTCACTGTTGTCATTTCGTGCTCTGTGTCATTTTGTATCCAGCAGTTTATCATTGTGTACCACATGCTTGTCTTTTCGTACTCCACGGTTGCAATTTGCACTTGGCAGTGTTCCCTTTGAACATGGTGTTCTCTAATGTGTACGTGTTGGTTGCCATTTTGTACCTG